AAATTTAAATAACAAATACCCTAAACCCCTAAATAATGAATAATCAATTAAATCCTAAACAAAATAATCATATACTACTACATCAATATTATATAATTAAAATCACACAAACAAAAATTATTAAACTTAATTTCGTATAGTTTAAATTTTATAACACAAAAAAATGGCAAAACACCTAATTTAGTCCTTTATAATAATTAATAGTTTCAATTTCTGGTTGGCATTCCAGTACGACCTGTTCTGAATTCAGTACGGATCGTTCTGGATCCACAACGGGCAGTTCTAATTCACTCGTTGTGTACTACATTTGCATCTGGAATTGGTTGTTTCAGTTACAAATTTAACACACAACGACTGGGACCAGAACGACCAGTTCTGATTTCAGAACGGCCCGTTCCAGGTTCATTATAGAACGACTACGAAAAAGAAAAAGGAAATATTGTTATTGTGCATTAAAAATTACAATTTTTTTAACACTTCATAAAATTTTCTCATACGTACTCAATTTTAATCATCAACATATTTTTCACATGTACAAATTTTTAACTTATAAATTACAAAATATACATGAAAATAACATATAATTCTTTCAAAATTTTGAAAATTACCTCTTTTCTTCTCTTCCTTTCTCCTTCTCCTTCTCTTCACTTCTTCTTCACACCTTCTCTTCTTGTTTCAAAACACTACTCTCACATGTTATTTAAAGGGAAGAAGCCAACTGAGAGTAGGGAAGAAGTGATACAGAAAACGTCACCTCTACTGACGTTTTCTGTACCAAAAACATCCACCCTGTCGACGTTTTTTTACACTTTTCTACAGAAAACGTCACCCTATGTGACGCCTTCCATTCAAACTTTTCGTACACAAATTATGATTCCTCTAAAAAAACTGAACTGATTCCTCTAGCATGAACAATGTAGAAAACGTCACCCTGTGTGACGCCTTCCTTTCAAATATTTTTGTGCCCAGATTCTGATTCATCTACAAAAATTGAACTGATTCCTCTAAAAGATGTGCAGCATGAACAATGTAGAAAACGTCACCCTGTGTGACGCCTTCATTCAAACATTTTCATACGTGCGATCTGCATGATTCCTGCATGAACAGTGTAATCAAAATGTCAAACAAGTTGACGTTTTTCTGAAGTCATCACGTTTCCTGCGTTTTCTTCACTTCCTCTCACTCCTACGTGTCAAAAAAAATTTATTTGATAATTAGCTTTTTTTTAATTTATTTTAGAAATTTTAATTTTTTATTATTTATAATGTTCAAAATGCCGTCGATAACCACTAATTATGGCTTATTTCTCTCGTGATGACAATGCAAGCGACGGTGCTCCGCTAGCTTTCCCTAACTCCAAAATCGATCTTCTTTCTTTTCCTCACTAATTTTTTATTTCTTTCTTCTCTTGTATTATTACTCCATATTTTTGTATATTAATTATATTCTTTGATGTATGAATCTTTGGAAAGGAAATGATTTCAGATTAAAAAAACTCAATAATAATAAGACTAATTTATAAATTATAAAATATTTTAAAACATCATATCAAACCAGCATAAACCAGCATAGTGAGACATTTACCTTTAATAGCCAATAATTATGATGATTCATTTCTGGACCATATGTATAACAATTCCATCTCAGGAGACATCAAAATTTTCAATTTAATAATTAATTAATACAAAGTTATGTAAAAAAAATATATTAAAATCATAAGAATTTATTTGGATGTAACCTACAATTATCAAAATCAAATTAGTGGATTCAATCAATAAAGAAAAGTGTTAAATCTTTTAAAAATTTAGCCGAAAAATAACTAAATTTACACATCCCCACTTGACATAAATGTTGTGCAGTGTTGATTTGTTGATAAGATAAAAGATGATTTTGTGATTTGTATTCGAAAGATATATCACTACTCATCAATCAAACTACGAATTAACATGATATTTGGTAAAAATAAAATAAAATCACAAAACTATTCTGTAAAAGTATCTGTCTCTAACTGCACAAACCAGTACACATTAATAGTTCACTGAACTTAACTGGTTTGTCAGAAAAGTTTTTATTAATTACGGTACGGTTCATTCATTACATAACTCCATTAATATTATTGTTTTGAAATATCCTTTAATTAAATCTGAGTTCAACTCTTCCATGACTAGAGTTATCTATCAATCTCTTTAAAAAAATTTCAATAAAATTATAAATTATTTAATCTATTACTAAAACAAATTTACATGAAAAAATATATAATACAAGAAAAATTACATATTCTCATAAAATATTATGTATAGAAATCTTGTTAATTTTATAATAATAATTAAAAAAGTGATATCAATCTTAAATTTGAAATAATATATACATGATTTTAAATTTAAATTATTATTATTATTATTATTGTAAATAAAAGAATTATAAATTATAACTGGTTTATACTTTTATTATTATTATTATTATTATTATTGTCATAATAATAAAGTTGAGATAATATATACATAATTTTAAATTTAAACTTTACTTTATTATTATTATTATTGTAAATAAAAGAATTATAAATTATAACTGGTTGATACTTTATATTTTTATAGATACAGTAACTATTAAACTATTTGTTTTATAGGATGAGTAATGCACTAGCATTTAGTGCACTGCTAGTGCAGCCTATATGTTACAATAACTTAATGTCATTATAAGGTATATACTTGTATCATCAGGGAAATTTCATGGGAAGTGCAAAAGCTGACTTTTGCACACTAAAATTAGGGGATGAATTGTTGGTAGGTGGTAAATGATGGTGTTGATGTTGTTCAATGAGTAATTAGAATATGACAAGAATGGGAGTATTTAAATTCTATTATTATATTATTAGTTTCCAATTCTAATGGTGAAAAGGCACAATCGGGTCAACTGTTTTCTTTTGTTTTTTTCTTTCTTCAATGTCCGTCGTCAACTATCAAACTGTAATTACGTGACTGAGGAATATGTACATGGTGGTAGGCTTTAAACTTCGACACTAAACATATAGTTTATATATATATATATAGAGGAGGGATTCGTTTAATACAAGAGTAAGTCTATCTAGATTTACTCCATTCAATAACTCGTGTTCTACATCAAATTTCAATGATCCAACAATTGAATTTAAAGTTCTTAATGCATGATCAAATCTGCAATTTTTTTTAAAATTTGAAAATTATTTCATTAATTCAAATTAACGGATAATCATAAAATCATTTTATACATTGATTTGAATTAATAGGACGAAGTACCAAATAATTTTCAAATTTTTTAAAAATTTACAGATTTGATCTATGTATTAAAAACTTTAAATTCAACAATTGGATCGTTGAAATTTAATGTAGAACATGAATTATTGAATGAAATAAATCTAGGTAGACTTACTCTTGAAATAAACAGATTGTTTCTCATATATATGTATAAATACAATTCGCACAATATTTCAAAACTAAAAATTAAAAGTCAATTTATGTTTATAAAAGTAATTTCTATTTACTATGTATTATTTTAACATTGAACGAAATCAAATCTAAATACACCAAATCAATCTTTCATATTTGAAGGTAGGTCATACAACTAATAAATTAAATTTTTTTGATTAGATAGCTAGCGTTGAAGGTGGGGAAAAAGTTTTGAAGTTTAGCCATGATGGAGACGAAAAGTATTTGGCCTTCATTAGTGTTACTAATAAGAAGTAATAGGTCATTACCAACTTGCATATCTCTTTTATTTTAACAATGTCTATTGTGGACTTAGAAAAATGGCTGACTAATTGGAAAAATGGAGGAGTAATGAGTCTTCCGTGCATATTGGTCCTTGAAAGTATGATTTTTTTTTTAAAAAGAATTTTCTGAAAATATAAAATGATACTGATTTTAGTCTAAAATAAAAAAATGTAATTAAATGTTAATATTGAGTCATGTTTAGAGACTAAAATAATAATAAGATATCAAATTTAAAAACTTAAATAAAACAACTAAAATTTTGAAAGACTTAAAAATTTTCTTAATACTAAAATATTAATGATGTACATCTGAATAGTGTCATATGACGATGAAAAAAAAAAATTGATTATATTCCCACTTTATAATAATTATTGTGTTAAAAGAAAAAATAAGTTTTAAAATATCATATTAATTTTTCAATGAAAAATTAATTACTTAAATTTTTTTATTTATATTCTAATAATATTATTTAAAAAATGGATAGGTGTTGTATCATTTTTAATGAATAAAAGATTAATCATCAGACTAATTTTATATTTTTTTATTATTTATTTATTTTATGCGTAAAATAACCTAGAAGAATATTTTTTATTATTATGAGATGGAAGAGTAAATAATTATCGTGCATCAATAGCTTTGTAGCCAAATTATTAGTTTAATTGAATTGTCTCTAGAAGAATAGCCTCCATTACTCACTCATACAACCATATTCAACATTTCAACCTGCTTTAACATTAGTATTTTTAAGAAGAATATAAAAATTTAAAAGAAAAAACCGATATCTAATTATTGGGCCCAGTGAAATACAGAGTAAGCAACATGAAATGGACATGGCTCTATGATATACACACTTTTTTTTTAGTACACCTCCTTTATTTTTTTTTAATTTATAAAATATTATATATATTTTTTTTAATTTTTAATTTTACACCTTTAATTTTTAATTTACTACTTTCTTCTTTTTTTTCACATACTTTTTTTCCTTTTTTAATTTTCATATATTGTCAAAATAGGTGTAATGAAGAAAAGGTAAAGAAATGTATATAAAAATTAAAAATAATGTGTAAAAGAAAGATATTAAATTAAATATTGTAAATGTAAAATTAAAAATTAAAAACAGAAAAATTTAAAAAATTAAAAATATTTTAAAAATTTAATTACTTTTTAAAAAAAGAAGATGTACTTATAGAAAAAAGGAGGTGTATATATCATGAACCAATGGACTTGGATCATGGGTCTGGCCCATTTCTTCAAGCCCAGTCCTATGAGACGGTGAAGCAACGCGGCCATGTTCGTTTCTGGTTTCTTCTTCTAAGTCATAGAGAGGAGAGAGAGAGAGGGTAAAACCCTAATTCGTCGCGTTCCTTCTGTTCTACAATCGAAGACCCCAATTTTTATAATACGGTAACGCTCTCCCTACCTTTCAATTTTGCCTCATAATGTTCTTTTAGCACTTAAAAATCAATGTTTTTTGGATTAGATGGGTAATTTGGGGATAATTTAATTGAGTGTTAACTGGATTCGCAAAACAATTGGTGAATTTAATGTATGGTTAGTCATCCTGTGTATACATCCTAGCATTAAATGAGATATTTTTCAAGCTTTTTATTTAGACTGTAATTTTGCTCTTGAAAGAACGAAACCATTTTGCAAAATTGCAAATTTGATTTTGTAGCGATGAATTCCGTTAAAAGTTATTCTTTTTTCGCTTTTGGGTAGATGAAGATTCCATCGAAATTATGTGCACCTGGGTAATTGCTATTTAAGAAGTCATGGAGTCGTTTATGTTAGTGCTTCTTTCAGTGTTGTTATTTCAAACATGGAGACGTTTATTTACAATAGAAACATTTAATATGAATTTATCTTATTGCAATGTCATATTAATAAATATGATTATGTGGTATAATAGTCTAATTTTATTAGATATTTGAGTAAAAGTGCTTGACACAGACAGTGTGTATAAATTAAACCCCGATTCAATGCAACTGTACTAAAAAATATTTCCTCTTAAGTTGTTAAGTGATGATTTTACAGCATGGAATTGCATTCAGTGGACTAGATCTTTGTAACCCCATCTAAGTTGATAATGACAATGATATTTGTGAACATGCTGTTTTGAGTAAGATGTTAAGACTTAAATGTTTTCATGGATTGTTCATGTGCAGGGTGATGTGCATTCTGTGATTCAGAGTTTTGATTCAAGTTTCTCACTTGATTTATTATTTACTGTCATGGTATGTTCAATGTCTGATCTCTTTATTAAATTCTGCTTTATTTTATTCAATTTAGTTTCGTGTAGTTTTACAAATTTTATCATTCTGCTCTTCATGGCTAGTGGAGAGATCTTGCAATTTCTCATTTTATAATTACTTGTCTAAGAGGGCAAGGTTTTGCACTGTCCTAGACTTGTCAATATGATTGTCCTTGTTTTAGCATTACGTGTATCTTTTTGTATCTAAGGGGAAATTTAATACAACTATGCAGATAAAAGAAGAAAATCTATTTAACTGGAAAAAAAATATATTACAAAAAGGGTCTGTGAAGATATCCTCCTTAAAATACAGCAGCAAAAGAGCACATCCCGTCCTGTAGATATTACTTTGAGGAATAAGTTGAATTTTTGGAATTCAAAGAATTCACTTAACTAATATAAATATAAACAAAATTTAGATGTAGTACAACACGTGCTATTGGTGTTGTTTTGTATTCAAAATTGTTGTTTCACTTTGATAATTGTTAAAGAAAGAGAGGAACCAGAGAGAAAGAAACTGAATATTATTTCAGTAACTGAATTTGTTACAAATAAATGTGTTACAATGGTAGTGGGGCAGAGCCACTATATATAGTACATGCTGTCATGATGACAGTTCTAACTAACTGATCAAAACTGACTAACTAACACACCCAAGAGTCAGTGCAGTAACTGCTCTTTTACAACACATTCAGAATAATATGCGTAATAAATTATTCCATTAAATATCAATGCGTATTATGAGGTAAAACTCCTATTTGGATTGAAGAACACTAATAGCACCTATGGTTTTGTATCTAATCTTTTTCCTATAATTCATGATAGTACCTAAAATTGGTTGTTTGGATTTTGATATTTTGCTTATCATTGTATTCTGGCACTTATTTTAAGTATTGCTGAATGCAGGATCCCAATGTTTCTATTGATGATAAGGGTGAAAGTAGACTCTATATTGGTAACCTTGATTTTAGAATTACCGAGTGAGACTTGCTAACTCCCCACCAAGATTTAACTTTATTTTCGTTGTGTGCTTCATTTCATGCATGTACTGACATACTTATTCTCTCGTTTTCTCTTCAATACTTTCCACTTTTCCAGAGCTGCTCTGCTTAAAATGTTTTCTCCTTATGGAAAGATCATTTCTGAGGACTTTTTATGGCACACGCGTGGCCCAAAACGTGGGGAGCCACGTGGTTTTGCCTTTATCCAGTACAGCTCAAAAGAGGTAAGTTGATTTTTTTTAATCTGTAGGAATTGGACTCGGTATCAAGGGGTTACAACAATTAGTGCACACTGTTCAACTAATTGAGCTAAACCCCCTTGGTAAGAGGTAAGTTGATTGCATACTTTAGTGACTTCACACTCTAGCAATCTCTGATTTTCATTGTTAAAGTGAGAATGCAGGAAGCAGAATTAGCCAAGGAGAAAATGCATGGGAGGTTAGCTTGTGGCCGGCCATTGGTTGTTCGTCTTGCTGGTGAGAAGTGCATGCTGGAAACAGCTGATAACTCTGCAAAAGCAGTGAGTGAAGTGCACAAGATGCATCTCACTAGTGGCGGTGGTGGTGGTGCCATGGGACAGACAAGTCGTAGTGCCAAAATAGCTGCTATTAAAAATAAATTGAAATCCTTAGAGGAGGAGAGTTCTAGGACCAAGAAGCAGAAGCAAAGTGAAAATATTTCTTGAGGCAATTGTGCAAGTATATAATATGTAGAATCAAGGGATGATATAATGATGTATGAACTGAATGTGGTGCAATTGTTTGTCTCCATTTAGTTGGAATTCATATATTTGATTCAGTTTGGTTTTTCCAGTTTTGGGCCGTAAGCCAGAATTTTAACTGCAGAAGAATACTATCCATCTGAAAATACTTATGAAAATAAGTTTTTTTTTTACTAAAATAATGAATTTTATCAAGCCCATCTAAAAGCTCTCATTTAGTAGAGCCTTGTGGAATTAGTTGTTTAACCAAATGCGTTTTTGGAGTGAAATAGCGATCAACGATTTGAATAGTCTGAAAAGGAAAAGAAAGCATACAAATACAAGCTTCTTTTTTCTCATTTTGGAAAAAGAGGACTACGTCGTTTACTCGTCAATTACTTGGTTGTTCTGTGATAGCTCCCCTAAAGAAAAAGAAAAAGTTATTAATCTTCATTTAATAAAAAATATGATGCGAGGGGAAAATGTGATCGACTATGATAATTTTGAGCCTTTAGCCTCGGGTGCCCAAAATTTTGGATAGGAAAAGCAAATCATTTTTGGTGGATGAGGTTTGGTTAGCATTTGAGAATTGTGCATTGGCCCAGTTGTAAAAAGGAAAACCCTTTAGAGGAGAGATCTATCTCCTTTGGAATTAAGAGATACAATTTTTCTATTTTCCAGTCTGGGTTCCAAACAGATTCTTTTTAGTAATATATTTTTCCTGTTTTCCAGCATTGCATAAAATGAAGTCTAGCTAATATGCTCGTAGCACAATTTTGAATATATAAAAAATGGAATCCATAGTGCCAATAATTGTTCTAAATAAACACTTCTTTCCTACTTTTTTTCCCCATCACATTAATACATAATATTATTAGACAGCAGTTTCTATAGGTCGAATATCACTCTTTCTGAAATGCTTTAAAAATCACCCTTGGTTTCACTTTCTAAGATGCTATTGCACTTTCTAAATGCTATCTACGAAATTTTGAATATGTAACATAAAATGTATTTCACAGGTAATTCTTATGGTGATTGAAGCTACAGGAAGTATATGAGCAAGATAAAAAAGGCAATAAAATTTAAACTTCTCTAAAAGAAGGGAGCGTACATTTTTTTTTATTTTTTATAATTACGTTATTTATACGAAATATTCACTAACTTTATCAAAGCCTAATCTTCACAAGAAATTGGAAGTGTACTTTAAGTCGTTAAAAAGGTATGCAGCATTGAAATAAATAAAACAAATAAATAGGTACCCAATCAAATATAAGCAATGGAGCACACAAGGGATAAATCTTATATATCCTGCGCGTACGGTCAGTTGCTGACTTAAACTAATTTGAAAATTTTGAAAGGTCGGTAAATGCAACCCCTAGTTAAATTATTAATATACATTTAAAAAATTTGTATTCAGTACTCTCCTAAATTAATATTTTAAACATTAATGACTACTTTTAACCTTTATGTTTCGTTGTTCGCATATATTATTATTATTATTATTATTATTATTATTATTATTGTTATTATTATTAATTAAAAATTATCCCCACTGAATTAAGTTCTTGGATCCGCTACATACAGTTCAAAACTTTCTTCACACTACAAGAATAAATTTACCTCCTATTTTTTCAACCACACCTTTCTAAGTATATAACCTAAGCTACTTATACATTATGTGCCACACGGGTGAGGATTATAAAACAAAGTCTGAGCTGCCTAATTTCTTTGCAATATTTTAGTGGATTCCCTTTGACAAAGCAACTCTAGATATTGAAAACGAAGAATCCAAGGTATCATATCATTTAAGCGAAATTTCTATTGCAAGAACATGAACGAATAATACCCTCTTATGGAGGCAGAAAGTCTGTTAAATATGACAAACTATAAAAAAGCATTCATAAATTATATAGATTTCATAAAACTACAGTAATATCAATCCTTCAAAATTTTCTCTGCACAGAATCATCTCAATTTTTTTTCAAACAGTGACACCAGACTAAGAATTGGAGTTCTGAATCAATAATTCAATATATTACGTGCTTTTATACTAACTTACCTAAGTTACAACAAGAAATTGATTGTCAAATAGTAAAAAAAAAAAAAAAAAAAAAAAACTAAGCACAATACCCGCTTGCAGATTAATGAATTTTAAAAAATAAAAAAAAAAAAAAAAAAAAAAAACTAAGCACAATACCCGCTTGCAGATCATATTTGGGAGTTTAAAGAATAAACAAGCTTGCAGAGTTAGTAAGATTTGGCAAAAATAGCCACTTCTTCAGCAGGGTTGCCGGTCATCAAGCACCTTTTAATCCCTTGTGGCTGTTCAAAAGGAAAGCACCTAATAGTTGCTCCTGTTTCCTCTTTGACTTTTAACTCATCTTCATCACTGTGACATTGTTTAAGCTTTGATATTAGAGTTGTGAATCATGTTCTCATCTATACATATTGGAAGTTATGTTTTCAACATCAAGTAAGTCTTAATAGATTTACTCTACTCAATAACTCATATTTTACATCAAATTTCAACTATTTAACCATTAAATTAAAAATTCTTAATATATAGATCAAGTCTATAAATTTTTTTAAAAAAATTGAAAAGTATATGATATTTCGTTATATATAAATTCAAATCAACAAAAACTCAAAAAAGTGAATCCCTCCTCTTAAAAAATATTTATAACAAAAATGGGGGAAACCAACCTAGCAGACCAAGGGCCACGTGCCCATTTGCCTTGTGATATTGCAGCTTTAAGATCATCATATGTGCTCACATCTATAATATTACTGCAAGAGAAATACTGTGTATGTCAATTTGCCTGTTTGCCAGTGAAGCCAAGAACATGTGCAGTTGAATGAGCATTGCATGAAAAGAGCAAAATTAAATAAAGCTTAATAAGCTATGGAAAAGCAAGAAGCTGATGAGTTTGATTGCATTGGTCTATAATATAACTTACTGAAACCATATTGTTGGAGCATTTTTTCCGCATTTCATCTTTTACTTTTATTTTTTCATTTTTAATTAAATATTTTTTCTGAAATACTAAGTGCCTAAAGAAATAAATCATCAGGGGAATAATATTCCTAAGCATAATATTTCAGAGAACATGATTCCTGGAAATAATTTTATGCCTTGAAACAAATGTGACCTAAAATCTGAACTTAGGCTGGAACCATGCCCAGACTCAAACCACATATCTGTTATTGAAGCGAAAATTGATGCACAGAACTTTCTGAGTGGAAATCATACAAGCGAAGTTCAACATTGTTTTGACAGAGGCCAAGATTATGCTACTATTACACATTCTTCAATTCAGGAAAGAGATGATTAATGTGACTGATATCAATAAATAGAAGCAGCTATTTTGAAGAATTCAAAGCATGTTAGACAAGGTTATGTTTAGGAGTCACAAGCTAAAAGTAGCGTAAAGAAATGAACCTGTCTCGAAATGCAATTGCCCTTTCCAAAAGAGATGACTGTATCTCATCCAACTTGTCTTTAACATAAGCTTCCAGATTTGAAGGCTCCATGGAGATTCCAAATACTTTCCCTTGCTTCCCAGGGATATCTCTCCTGGATATCACCACACTTCCACTAGCCACATCACGAGGACCAATTTCAATTCTAAGAGGAACTCCCTGAAATATGAAGATGTAAAATATAATCAGAAACTCAAATAAACATTATTTGGTCGCAGAAATTGAATTTCCATTCATGTTTAACACCAAACCTTCATTTCCCAGAAATTGAATTTCCATCCAGGAGTTCTTTGATCTGAGTCATCAAGTTTAACTTTAATTCCAGATCTTTGAAGAGCATCTTTTACAGATGATGCTGCATTTAGAACTGCCCCCTTTTCATCATCCTTCTTCCAAATGGGTACAATTACCACCTAAACCAGGCAACACACATGATTTTGTCAAAAATGAAAAACTAACAATTTATTTAAATTGCAATATAAAAAGTACATGCATGGAACATTATCCTATATCTGCATGTAGGAGTTTGGACTTTGGAGTAGAAGAGAATCTTTTTCAATTTAAGTAAGCATACCCTGTAACCTTTTAAGCTCCCTGACTATTTTTATAAACATTTTGCAATTTTATCAATAAAGAAATGAACCCCCCCCCCCTCCCCCCTCCCCAAACTCCTCCATCCAAGCATACCCTTAATGAATTTCAGTAAGCAGAGCGAGGAAATTAGCCATGAGATATTAACATAAGAATCAAATCACCTGTATGAATAAATAAATAAATAGATAAGTACTAAAAACACGACACTTCAGCACACTGTCCAAAAGAGGCAGCTCAGTATATCACTATAATGAAAGCAGGTTTTGTATCAAGTGTTGCAGGATGTTGTGTAAGCACAGCAAAAGTAGGAAACTACATTATTGACCATCTTTTCCTGACCAAGGTGAAAAAAGTTCCAGCTCCAACAACTAAATTTAACAAATGGTGTCTACACCACAAGGTCTAGACACCAATAGCATCCAAATGTACCTGAATAGGTGCAATCTTTGGGGGAAGCATTAGGCCCGCATCATCTCCATGCGTCATGATGATGCCTCCAACAAAACGGGTACTAATTGCCCATGATGTCTGCCAAACGTGTTCCCTTAGTCCATTTTCATCTGTGAACTGCACAAGCACACATTTTGAACAACTGCATCCTCATTGAAAGGATTACATCAATATTTTAAAAAAGGTAATAAAAAAAATAAAAGTTGGAAGAAAACCATGTAAAAGAAAAGGGATAAAATACCAAAATAAAATTAGAAAAGCGAAAAACAGAATCTAGATACTAGCATGCTGCAAGTACTGAAGGTCCAGTTTAGTCTTCCCAGTATGTATTAATGCATTTCATGGCTTGGTATTAATATAAAGATCAAGTTACTTGCCGTGGAAAAAACAACTAATCAAGTAAAATAAGGCACAAGCAAAGGACTATGAGAAGATATATAAGAATTCAAAAATATAGCATCATATTATATTTGCAAGTATTGGAAAAAACACAAATCCTACGTCGACTAGAGATAAGGTAATTGAAGAATACATAAGTAAGAGACAACTCTCACTTTACAAGTCGGTTTTATAGCATTGAGTTAAGTC